AAAAAAAAAAAAAAAAAAAAGGAAAGAAAGAAAGTATATCCTGTGTCTAATTTCACATAATAGGAATAAAAATTCAATTAGTGACCAAATGACCTAATTAACACATGCTTACTCCATACTTTTGGTTACGAGCAATTTTTATATGTAAAACCATAATTATAATTGCACTGTATTCCAGATCTTAAATTAGTTTTTTCCACAGATTAAAGCACTCTATAAGTTAAAACCACTCGTAATTTCCCCTGTAACAAAGATAAATGGATAAATGGTAGTAGCTTACTTGTTTAACTCTTCTTATCAGACATTATGTCTTCTTAGTTTATAGATACATAATGTATTATATATAACATACAATGTTATGTATTACCTATATATTTCTATAACATACATATAATACACGTGTGCCTGTGTATTTGCTACTGAAATTTCCTAATCTATCAATTTCCCTTCTCTTCCTCCGATCTGGGGTTCCTTTTAGTTTACGGTTCTTGTGCTACATTCTACCTCTAATTTAAAAAATTCTGTCATCTAAATCATGAAACATTGCCTTTCAGGTTTCTTGTCTTTTCACCAGCCCAATTCTCAAGAAATACTAAAATAGATGACCATTTTTTTTCCTGAAATCCTTTTTTTATCTTTTGTTTCTCTGTGTCCAGTCTTTTCCCATTTTTACTCATTTATGCAGTAAATATTATATTTCCCCTTGTAGAACTACTTAAAATTTAGCAAGTTTTGCCTAACCATTAGTGCTCAACTAGACCTTTAGATATTATTGAGTAGCAATAACAGAAAGAAGTTACTAATTTAATTCGTAATTAACATCCTTGGGAACCAAGAAAAGGGAGTACATTTGACAACATTTCTAACTACCTCCTCAACTTTTCCTTAGAGGTAGAGAAGGGCAGAGAAATCAACCTCATATAGAAATCAGACTGTGCCAATGAAAACAATGTAAGTTTTTACAATCTGGAAGAGAAATAAAATTTAGTGAGTGAATACTATGTTCAGGCACTGTGCCGGATACTTCGTGCAAGTTCTGGTTTATTTAAGTGTAACCATCCTTCATGGCAAGGAAATTATCCCCATCCTCTTACAACTGTGAAACCCAAGACCACAGAAATGAAATAAAAGCTCACACATTCTAAATTCAGGGCTGGAATCTAGTTTTGACTGAATCCAGTCTTGACTGACCTTTCCAGTGCAAATCTTTAGTCAACCCGTGTACGTCTGACAAAAATAATCAATAGCAATAAGCTATCTATTTTGTTTAGTTTTTATTTGAGTACACTAAGGGATTCAATATACATTAGTCACGTGTCCAAATTAGGTTATGAAATCCCACCTGAATGGGAAGAAGTCAGGCATATTAAAGGGTCAAAGAGTAAAAGGATTACATCACAGAATGGCCTTACCAGTTCTCAAAGTCAAGTCTACCTCCACCCAATTGCCAGAGTAATCTTTGATAGTTATGAAAAGATTCATTCTTTCCTGAACATTCTTAGCTCTGAGCAGTTCGAAATAAAGATAGCACGGTTGGCTCCAGACGAAGGAGGAGGCACAGACTAGCCTTGTGGGAACAAAAGACTGGGAAGAGGTTTAACGTACCTCTTGTGTGGGGAGAGTGGTGAGATCTGTGGAGTTAAGGATAAGGAAGGGGTAAGTCTGGTAAGGAGTGAAAAGTGGAAGGACAGATGATACAGCCTGGCAACGCTGATATATCAGGAAATAATCCGAACAGTGTATTAAAACACAAAAATGAATACCCCTGTATGCAAAATATCATCGAATGACAGTTTATTTATCCAATAAGTATTCACTGAACACCTACTCGGTACACAAAACACAAATTTTGTGCCCTGAAAGAGCTCAGAGTATACTGGCATATAGTGCATGGGTATAAAAAATAATTCTAATGAAAATTTTAAATTTGTAAGCCTTTCTAAGAATGGTATAATAATGTTGTACAAGATTCCAGAAGAGGGAGCAATATGTGGTAAGGTTCTTTAACTAAGGGGTTCTTCTCTTGACAGGGACAGGAGCACAGAAAAATGCAAAAGCACACACAGGATCTTGTAAAAGGAGGCAAATTACATTCAGAGTCTAAAAAAAAATGTATGTTATGTAAACCAAACACAAATATTTGCATTATACTAACAGAGATAATCAAGTTGGAAGGATAATGATTGGTCAGATTCTAATCTACTCTTGAAATGGGTGTTGAAGGTAGGAAGGGAAGTAACATGTTTTCGAGTTATATATAGGTAACAAAGGTTATATCTTGCTCTCTCGATGTAAAATTAAACAAATATTAGTTCCTGGAGTTAAGCTAAGGAGTGGCCTATGTCAGCAGAGGCCAAAGAAAAATAAACACCAGATAATTTCAATGAGCAAGGATCCAGGAGAGTGAGTTGTAGACAAAGGAGGCAAATAAAATTCTCCTGGTCTTCCAGAATTTTCTATTTGCAGATAATGTAAGAACTTTCTAGCACACAGCAAGTGTTTATTCACCAAGGCTACATTAAAGCAAACATTCCCTCTCAGTCAGATGAAGATAGACAATTTGAATCCTATTATTTAAGATAATCTCTTCACTATTTTCATGTTCTTTATATTGGCTCTAATCATTGCACACTGTTTTCTGACAGCTGATTTCTCAGAGAAGAGACACAGTAGCTGTCCGTTATGAATACAACAAATATGGAATTTTATACCCTAGTGAACTTTATCTATAAAATATCTGTAGACAGCACTGATGAAATTATTAAAAATATCAGTAGTGATGCTTCAGGGAGAAAATGGCTGTGGGATTTGTGCTTTTTCACTAGCAGAACTCAGTTCAAAGAAATTCTTGCCACGTTATGTGGTTTTGGAAAGTGCCATCAAGTTTATAAAAATGTATTCTTAAGTATTCCTGCAGTTCTCAAATGGTTGTACATTCATTTTTTTTTTTTTTTTAATCTGGCAACCAAA